TGATGGGAAAAACAAGAATGTAAAACAGCAGCGAAGGCTGGGTAGAAAAGCAGACGGGCCTCTGACGCACTTCTGTTTAAAGTGTGAGTGAATGTGAGACTAATGATACATCACGTTTTTAACAGCATTCAGACTCCTTATTCGTGCCACTCACTCGTGGCTTTCTTGCTCACTAAACAAGGGCTGCAAGTGAATCCCAAATATTTTTTAAAAAGAGGAACTTTAGAGCGAGTGTGATGCAATGATAAGTATCAAAAGAACAAAGCCTTGCTTAACTCCAGCGAGCATCTTATTTCATCCACTCTGACCCCAGTCTGTCGCTACGAATTATTCATTAGTCACTTGTTCTTTGATTTGTCTGCTTTCTCAGCTCTGCTGGCTTCGTGAGCTCTTGTTTCTACAGATTTCCACTTACAGACATCACGTAACTGCAGCACGTTACACAAGTGCCACCCGACTCATGCAGTTTTTATCAATGAGAAAACAACAGCCAAAGGCATGAACAAGATCTCTCTGCAGATGGTCTTTTTTGTATGCTGTAGTGCAATCACAATTTTTGCAGAGAAACAAAGCACACAATAAAAAACCCCATAAAATCTGCTTTTCTGTGATATTAATACACAGTAATGCATGCCATTACACCAGCCCTTAGCCTGACACATAACATCTTGGCTGAAGGAGTTGCCACCTGTCATCTGCCGACAGGTTTTAACGCACGCCAAACAGAACCGGCTCTGGCCGACTGCATGCGAATCAGTGAAATCAGCTGATGTAGTATTTAAACATAGATTTAGAGAGTTTGGGTGATTGCAGTGCATTAACTGAAAAACAAAATGATTCCATAATGACTGAAATATAGCGAAATATAGCACCACATTGTTGATCTGTTGAAACATAACTGACAGCTCATTTGAAATAGCTGGACTTTAATTTGCTTATTTTAAAAGGGTCAAAGCTTTTTAGTTCTACAAATGCGCAAACATAAACCCATCAGCCATTTCATTCAAGGTGCTGGAAAGATTCCTGGAACATTTTGGTCCATATTGACATGACGGTATCACACATTTGTCAGCTGCACATTCACGATGAGAATCGCGCGTTCCACCACATTCCAAAGATGCTCTGTTGGATTAAGACCTGGAGAGTGCCGAGCCCGTTTTAGTACAGTGAAATCAGTGTCATGCTCATGCTGAAAGGGACGGACATGGTCAGCAACAATACTTAGGTAATCTGTGGCATTTAAATGGCACTCAGTTGATACCGAGGTATCATCAGGAGTATCATTTTGCTTTAAAAATGCAGCCTGGTAAGTCACCTTCAAGTTTAAAAAATAAAAAATACTGTGAACACCAACAGATTTAAAGTCAGACACTCGCATGCACGGGTACAAAAAACACTGTTGAAGCTCAGATTTGCCTCAGAGGGACAGAATGAAAGACCACAGTGTAATAAGTCAACATTTTATTTTATCGAGTTACATGGTTTTGGTTCTGTAGCAACCTACCGTATTTATTTCTGATGAAGTGCAATTGTACTCAAGCCAGTTACATTTGAGAGCAATGACAGGCACACGTTTTGTGCAAATTTAACAGCATTGGAACGGCTCCTACATATACACAGCAAAAATACATGCCAGAGGAAAACAATACTAAATCAGTTTACATTGACAATAGTTAGGAAGACGTCCCTCAAAAAAGAAAGAAAAAAAACTTAGAGAAACAATGTCAAACCAAGCTAACACTTGAGATACACATTTCACCCGTAGCTCACATAAAGGAGGGAACATCTGAGAAACATTCGGCCTTTATCCGTCATCTGGCTCTGTGCACGAAAACCCTCAAATCTGTCCTCACAGACAACATATTTAATCAGAACGCAAACACTGTGCATCGCCATTTCAAACTAGTTATGCAGACATTACAAAACGAAAAGCCAAAAATCTGAGATAGACAAGAGGAAGCCTGCTTCTTGTTGCTTTGAAAAGTCCCAACTCTGAATGCTTTGTCCTTACCTCATGTCTGGCAGTACACTGGCAATGCAGAACTAAAGGCATTGTGGGGGTGATGCAACTTAAAAAGGTAGCCACAAAAGACGTCACAACCTGAAACACATGGGCGTTGGTAGCCTTGGTGGAGTCGGCTGCAGATGCTTCATCTAAACATTGTCCTAATGCTGCTTTATAGCAATTACTGGGACAAGACACACTTAGCCCAGGCCATTATTCACAAACTCAAAGGTTTAACAAAAATAATAATAAAACACACAAAAGTGTCCAAGAAGAGCTTCTGTTTGTCTCCTATATAACGTTTAAATAATCTGTGGTAAAACATGCAGGAACACAGGATTATAAGACTCGAGTCCGAGTAGTTGAGATGGGAAATTTGGGTAGCCAGTCTCTAGTGTTACAAGTCGTACATTACAGGTTAAGGTCTGTGTATGGGAGGCTTATCGGCCCCCATCGTTCTTCACAGTGAAAATTTAAGAGCGGTCGAACTGAAAATCCCTGCAAATGATTGCACTGACTTGTGTTGGGTCCAAAATGTGACATCTTTTCTGAACACGGCTGCAATAATTTCACTTCTGCTGTGGGTCTGTCTTAAATCCCAATTGAAAACAGTGGAGATACTGAATGGCGTGCATCTTCAAGCAACATAATTCCTTGGAAATTGGCAGCAGAGATAACAAACCCCATTATTTGTTTTCTTTATATGATCACAGGTTAATGTGGACGATGATTTGCTAAACCGGTGCACGCGGGATGGTTTTACCACCAAAATCAACATTGTCTCGTAACGGGGTCTGGCAATGCCACTTGAGAAGGAAAGCGGATGCACCACTACATTCTACAGCTTTCCTTTCACGTACAATCAAGGGCCACATTGAAATCTTTTACAACCTAGAATTTAACAGCATCAACAAAAACTACTTCCGTTGCATTCAAATGGCAACTATCAAAAAGTAAACTTACTGTAACATACATATTAAATAGTGTATAGTCCATGCAATTGCGCATGGCCGGTTTTGCATCGTTATGGTATGTCGTTATTAGTGTATGGGAGACATCAGCCACCAGTGCATTTCCGATTTAGGTTCAGGGAGAAAAACTCCTCAATACCCATCAGAAACTTCTCAGCCTGACTTGAAGAGCAAGATGGCCACCTGGCCCAGATAAAAGTAAATGAAATGCTTTGTCTCGTGGGTGACGTAGCTGCCGAAGTTCCTCCCGACAATGCAGTGCCAAGTGGGGTTGTACTTCTTGTCAAACTCCTGAAAAGAGTCAAGAGGACGACAGCAATCAGGGTCCAAGTTACTTTATATGGATTGGATGAATTTATATTGTATAGAGGTCATGCCCAACCTTAATTTTCCTGAAGGACTAATTAAAATATTATTAGTTACAATGACATTATAGCACATTTAATCCCTGCTTTTTTCTATATCAAACCAGTTTTAGTTTCAGTTAAAGCTATTCAATAAACTGGATAACTGTCTCCACACTGTGGTCCTCAGCAGGAACATGGGAGTTGTATGATCTGCAGCGGGAAATGCAAAAATAGTTGATAATCTGTAAGCACTAATTTGTTATTTAGATCATTTATTTAAACAAGTTTAACATTCATGCCAATATGCTGCAGGCAAGTGTGTATGAGAACTAGAAACAGACTTGCAAAAGCACACAAAAACCTGCTTAGCCAGGCTTTTCATAAGAAAAACATTATTACTACTATTGCTTTCCTTTTTCTTGTTACTTTGTGCATTAGCAGCCAACAGTTTGAAGTTTTTGTACTTCTTCTTAAAGCACTCTATAAAAGGTTTGAGTTCCACTCTTGTATTAGGAAATTGATGCACATAAAAACAAACAAATCAAAAGCTTTTTTTATTCTAGTTTATGTAATTTCGTGTAAGAGCATGTGCAGAGGGGGCCTTACAAACATTACCAATGGGCTAGAGTGGAAAGGACCAAGGACACATAACTTATTTACCATCAGTTTTAATGCATTTCTATTAGCCCCCTTCCCCTCCAGTATATTCTGGATTCAAATGTTATACTTCAAACCCTTCATTTTAAATCTTTAATAACTTATTTTTGCTTATTTTAATCTACTGATGTCCTATAAGTTAAGTTGAAGCCAGTTGACCAATTAAAATCATGTCCAGTTGACACATTAAAGTAAAACACACATTAATGAATCAATGATTGTATGTACAAACTGTATAGGTTTGTGCATAGTGACAAAAACTTTTGTATTAGTACTCAAGTACGATTATGCCTTCTAGTAAGAAGTCAGTGACTGCCATACAGTCTTCATGCTCTTGTGCTGCCACTTCTGACTAACTGTGCCATGTTTCACCAAATTCTAAAAATCCTGGAAACGCCCCTGCTTTGGAGGAAGGATTTTTAAACGTGCCAAATAAAAAGAAAACCCTGACTATGTCTTTGATCACGTGTCTCATCTCCACGCTGGGCAAAAATAGATGTGAGAATGTGTTAGTGTCTCAATTTGCTGATCATGCTCTGTCGGTGATAGCTCTGCTTGGATCCATCCAAGCACCCCCTCCTGTCTCACCTTCTTGATGTAGGCTGCAATGTCCTTCTCTATGTTGTACTTCTCCATGGCCTGGGTGGCACAGTCCACCGCGTCCTGCTGCATGTCCTCGGACATGTCTGCGTTCTTGATCACAGCTTTCCTGTCAGTCATGGTTGAGGATGCCTGCGGAGGAAGAAGGGAGCACGTTCACGCACGTACCGCACTGAAAATTAACACCGCACGTGGTGATGGGGACGGTTTAGGCCAGCCCGGATCATCGCAAACACCACAAGCAAAAAACTGGCCATTTGGCAAAGCGTTTCCCACCAATCCCACTCATCTGAATCTACAACTCGTGGCTGTGTATTTGTGCCCATATGTTTGATCAGACGTTGACTTGAGCGTTTGCAAAGATTGAGTACGAAACTTGATACAGGTGGAGTTAAATTACTTGGCAAAAATCACTTTCGGATTAAAGCAGCTTCTGCATCAGGAGGGCAAAAGTATCAAAATATGCCCACTCAAATATAGAATCCGCCAAAATACGCCAATACAACCTACATATCCAATCATTCAAAATGCAAAGAGGCATACAGGAACAGATCATCATGTAAGAACAAGAAAAATAACTCGAATCAGAAATATGTCAAGACATGAGAGTCAGTCTTTTTTCCCCCCCTCAGATTATGAAAAATATGCAACCCACCTTTTCTCGAGCCACCTGAAAACACTCCTTTCCAAAAATAAGTAGCCTATTTCACCCAGCCGGTGGGTAAGGTTAGGATGATGCTGCGGGTAATTGCTTTTTAAAGATTTACACAATAAGCATGTAGGTAGGTTGGCTCTCCGCTGTGCTCCAGCAGCTCCCCGCCCCTCTGCTGTATGCTGAACCCTGCCATTGGCTGGGCAGCAGCTTCCCCGTGTGTTGCAAGCGTTTTTCTCCAGCTCCTGTCTGCCGGCATCTTATTTCATCCCACAATGCATCATTCACGGTATACACCACCGACTGTGGGCTAAAAGGAAACGAGACCACGGCGCACGGCAGGCATCACTCGGCTGTGCGTAAAAGGCCCTTTCATCAGTCACCGTCACAGCTGAGGGACACGAGAGCTTTGAATAATGAACACGGGCAGGCTGCTGTGGTGGTGTTTCATGTCCACAGCTGCTGCTCTGCCTTTGTTTCCTAGCTCCATGGTTATCCTTAGTTGGTTTGGTTACAAACGTAAATGTAATGAGGGAGATCAAACAGGTTTATTTTATTAATGGTAAAGAATTCGTGCTTGGGTTTATGTTGGAAATAAAGACAAACTAAATGTCCTTGTTTCAAAGTGTTTTATTGAAAATGCTAAGAGGAAGAAAAAAAAGATTAAGCAAAATTAAAAACATACAAACTACACCCATGTGAAACCCCTTTCCCAACCTCCCCAATTTTAATTCCTTCATACCAGGCATCTACGACTCCATCCTTTGATCCAACTTCCTGGTCCTCAGTTTCGTTTTCTTCTAATAAAGCCATTATCCCTGAAAACCTTTAAAAGATAGGCAGGATGGGGGCCTAATAATAAAAAAAATGTTCTGAGACTCCCATTTGTTTGTTTTTTTCTTTGTTTTTTTTTTAAGTTCTGATATCAACTCATCTGAATCCTGGAAAACTGATCCCGTTCCGAGCATCCATCCTTGCCTATCCCTTCCCTAATCGATCCACTCATCCAGCTCCAAGGATTGGGATCCACTGAGCCACTCCTCCAATCAAAACCTTGAAATACCAGGAAGAAAATCAGAGGCAGACCGTTAGAATAAAATGTCAAGATTTGGGGGCCTATTTTTTGTTTTTTTTTTAAGCCATGTTGAAGCACTCATGTCAGATTCAGATTTTTAAATGCCACTGAGCACAAAAACAATCACTCCCTGAAAACATTTAAAGCAATGAGGATATTTAAGTGAGACACTTTGCATCAAAGTAGTGAATTCACTTTTTTCCCCCACATTTGACAGCAAAGATGTTACACTTACATCACAACACTTGATTTAGGACTGCTTATTCTGTCACAGGTCAGAAGTAGCATGTTAAAAACTGTATATATAACAAAGTACAGCACGTGGCTTTGTTAAAATGACATGCATGATACAGCAACCGATCAGAAACGTTCAATTTATGGAATATGAAGCGTACCATTGCCTCGACCTGATTGCTCCTAGATGTCCTATCCTGACCATACAAATGAAATGTTCTCCACAATGGTTTTATTCCAAATCACTTTAATCCTTCTCTTCAGATGTCTAAAGGAAGACACAAGGGTAAAATACAGTTAAGCATCGGGCTCCCCTTTCAAACAGCCCACCCCACATATCCAATGAGAAGCTTTTTTTTTTTTTAATATATAAGAAAAAAACAAAACAAAACCAAAAACAAAACTTTAAATTTTCAGTACTTGCAAAAACATTGAGTGAAGGTTATAAACAACTCAACATTTTTGAAGTTCGACACAGCACAACTTCTACTTTTGCAAAACTTTAGGACAGAAAAAAGGGAGCGAGAGGTGGAGAGAGAGGGGAGTGGGAGGGAGGGGGGAGAAGAAGGGACAAAGCTGCAGGAGACAGAGGGAAGGGTTGAAGCACGGGTGGGGGTGGTACAACTACATACCAAGATCATCCACAAGGACACCAGGACAAGAAAAAGGAGGGGGGGGGGAGAAATTAAAATCAATAGCTGACATCTGGAGAAACTCATAGGAGGTAAAAACAGGAGGGTATACATCAAAAGGAGCAAAACATCGACGGCAGAAAAGCTTAGGAACGGGAGCGAGAGCGGCTGTGACGGGGTGAGTAGCGGGGAGATCCTCTGCCACGACCACGGGAATTGCTGCGACTGCGGCTGGCGCTCCGACTGCGGCTCCTGCTCCGGCTGCCACGGCTGCGAGAGCGTGATCTTCCATAACTTGGGCTGCGGGGACCGTCTAATTTCACACGAATGTAAGCAGTCTCTCCCTGGCGGACACAAGAGAACTTGACATTGAAAAGGCATACATTCCTGCCTACGGTGGAAATGCCACAGATGGAATTAAGGGCTGGCTGTTGTTCTCGACACGTCACATTTCCTGACGTACTCACCTCAGCACAGCAAAGCATAGAACAATCATCCATGATGCTAAAAATCATACACATACCTCATGGGAGCGGAATTTGGTGTTGTCCAGCTTGCGAACGGCATAGGTCATGTCTTCTTTGCGCACAAATTCTACAACTCCAGTCCCGTCTCTGTAAACGTCGGCGTAGCACACGTCGCCTGCCTCACGCATGTGGTCCTTCAGGTCCTGCCAGCTGCCGCTCTGAGGGAGCCCTGAAAAACACCAACATTACGTCAACACACACAGTGAACCCTCCAGCTGTGTTTATGCGCACAAGGATGAATGTTTAAGAGCCCCAGAGCTGGTCTCTTTCAGATTTAGTCATTTAACACCAAGATACACTAAGATTTGCTGCTGCGTTAATAAGTAAAAGACATATTTTATTTAAAAATGTACTGGTTCTGAATACTTTCACATGTTTAGTGTGCACTGCAGCCAACTACCATGAGACTGTTTTCTTTTTATACAGATTAAGGGAAATTTTACTCTCTGGCCAGATCTACTCGATAAAAATAACAGCTCTCTGATGTCTGCTTTTTGTGACTGTCAACTTGTCCACTGAGAATTTACATCACAATCCACCCCCTTCTTGTTATACTTCAAAGCAGTATTACAGGAATGATTACTCGACCGTCAGTATTATCGAAGCCCTAGATGTAGATATCAGTGGCTGCCACCAATAAAGAAAATCACATTTATCCTTAAGAGTTTTTGAAGTTTTCTTACATCTAAAAATTTTTAGCACAACGGGCTACCTAACACATACACAGAAATATGAATTTACTACCCCAATCATGAAGTCAGGTCACTGGCTCCCAGTTCAATACATAACTACCTTTAAAATCTTTCACAAACATTTAACCGTTTGGCCCATCAGTATGTCTGACTGGCTTAGTGTCTATAACCCAGTTAGAAGTTTCAGGTAATCAGGTGCAGATCTTTTAAATGTTCATAAAATTAGACCCAATGATGCTGAGGGTGCCTTCAGTTATTGTTGTCCTGTTTTTTGCAACAAAGCCGCCAGCTGACCTGAGATCAAGTTCAACTGTGTCTACATCCAAAAACTTTTTATTCTGAGTGGTTTACACTTAACTGTGTGTTTGAAATGTAGTCTTATTCCCTTGTAAAGTTCTGTTGTTTTTTGAGGTTTTCTTGCATTAAATCACTGTAGAGCTATGCAATTTATTTTTAACTTGTAGTTAAGCACATCCAGTTGATGTGTAACATGCTATATAAACAAAACTGACAAAGAGAAATCACCATGTGTGTGAGAAAAATATTTAACCACTTGAAGTTATCAAATGGCCAGAAACAACAGCAATACATCATTTTGTCCCCATCTTAACTCTATCCAGGTAGATTGTGCTTACATGCAGTCACTGCCCAAAGGCTCATTGTGGTTGTGCAACAGCAAGTTTGCATAGGCAAATGCATTCAAAGACAGTCTTAAAACCGCTGAAACACTCTACAGGAGATTTTGTTTCCATAACATAAACACAAAAACTTTCATGTCTCTCAAAAACTACACTCACTATAATCATAAAAATAAAATAAGCCCCCCCCCCCCTTCAGACAGACAAATAACTGCCTGGCATTGCATATTTTTGGTTTGTTTACCTGACACAACGACTCTGTACTCAGATCGTCTGGAAGGGGGTCCATATCTGCCTCTGGGCGCTCCTCCGATCCCAAACCCTCCTCTGGATCCCCTGCCGCTCCGAGGAAACTCCACTCGCAGTCTGTAGCCGTCGTAGTCGTATCCATCACGTCCATAGACGGCATCATCAGCGTCCCTATTAAATAAAACAGTTTCGCCTTAGACATAAACAAATGCACGAACGAACAGGCTTGCAACACGCAAGCAGCCACGTTAGCGGCTAGCTTTATTACTTAACGTCTACTAATCCGCTTTGCAAATGCAACTGCAGCATTTTAGTCTCATGAAACTTGTTTCATGAAAGAAATATAACGATTGACCAAATTAACATGTAGCAAAGCGTAAAGCTGCGAGTGCTTTGACGCAAGTCGTCTGCAGCGAAGAAGTGAAGCGGGTGTATTAATCTCCAGCAACATGGACATTAATACCACAAAGGCACCAAGCGTCAGCGCAGGAAAAACGGGACACAGGCGTCTGCAAACCAAGTCGAAAGCGAAAGTAGCACGCGCGCACACACATACCAAATTTAATTACGGGAATAACAGAAAAAAACATCCAGGAAATAGTCTGAGCACTAAGCAACGCGTTAGCACACACACGAGTTTGTTAGCAACACAATGGGACCGCATCGGGCCTGGCGCGGCTAACCGTTAGCTTCTTACCTGGGGTCTTCGAATTCAATAAAGGCGAACGGGGGTCCCCCTCTCCGGTTCTTCAAGTCGATATCTCGAATCGTCCCATACTTGTAGAACACGTCTTCCACATCTTTTGTGCGTATATCTGGCGGGAGGTTTCCCACGTAAATTCGGCAGTCGTTGTTCCCAGCGGGGCCTCGCACAACACCCGACATCGCTGCTAACTCAAGCTAACAGTTCGCTGTTTCCAGGATTCTTTAACGCCTGCTGGTGATTAGGCCCCGAGCGCCTGCGAGTGGTCGAGGCAAAAAGAAAAACGAGAAAGCAATCAAACGAGCGCTGTTTTACGCTACACTGTGAAGGGTATTTACTGAGCAGACAATACTACCGACGAGGTGACTCCTACCCCAGCGCGTTTTTTTTAACCGAGCAGGGCATTCATCAACACCGGAAACACTACAGCCGAGTCTGACACATCCGCCTTAGAAAATAGTCCGACCATATCCAAAGCTAATAATGTTTTTGTTAATAACATTTGCCGTCAAATAATATATATTACAATATCATATAATGCAGATCTCTTATAATGCAAGACTTGCTATATTGGTATTATTTCTATATAATATAAGCATAAGCTAAATAATAAATGTTTTATAAATATAGACACTTACCAACAGGCTTATAATTTTGCTTCATTTTTACCAGTTGTTAATTCAAGAATATAATTAACATAATTTTTTCAATAATACAGCCCAGAATGGGGAAGAAAAGTGATTTATGTGATATTCAATGTCGCATGGTTGTTAGTGTATGACAGCCTGGTTTGCATACCTCAGAAACTGCCTTATGCTGGGATTTCCCCACACCACCACCCGTAGAGTCTATAGAGAATGGTCTCAAAACAAGAGAATATCCACTGAGCAACAGTTCTGTGAGCAAAAATGCCTTGTTAATGCCAGAGGTCAGAGGAGAATGGTCACACTGCTTTCAGCTGATAGAAAGGCAACAGTAACTTAACTTCCACTCATTACAACGAAGGTAATCAGAAGAGCATCTCTGAAGATAAAACAAATGAAATACTGAACAATAGATAATAGAAAATCGGAAAAATGTTGCCTTATCCGGATCCCCACCCAGTGGCCCCACCTGGCAAGACTTGCCCTATGTTGATAATAATGTAATAAGGTTGCAGAAAAGCTGCTGCCAATCCCTGGACAGACCACTAATCCTTTTTTTGTCTTTACTGAACAGGTTTGCGCTTAAAGCTAACTCCATTCTGGGAATATGAATCTTAAGCTTCTTCTGTCAGCTCTGCTGAGAATTATTAAAGCAATGGGTGGAATTTCAGCCAATCAACCAATCAATTAATCAATCAGTTAAAGCAGATTATTATTGATTTCAAAATCTTATTTGGTTTTCATATATACCTATTTTCAGTGACATCAACTTTAACAGTGGAAAATTAGGTAGGCACATCATTCTTTTCTTTCTCTCTTTTTTGCGATATTTTTCAACTATCCTATATTTGACAACAGCATAATAAAACTGGAAATTCTGTTTTTGGTGTATTTCTAGTGGCCCCATATGGCCACCCCTATGAAAGAAATTCTGGAGGCACCCTTGGTACCTAGGTCCAAGTTAAGAACAAAAGGAGTCTGTGTTTTTGAGGTTGTGGCTCCCAAGTTGTGGAACTCACTTCCAATGCACTTAAGATCTGTGGACACACCTGATACTTTTAAAAAGAAGCATAAAACCCACCTGTGGATTGCTTTTATTTAGTTTTAGTTTCTTTTTATACTGTCTTTGTTGTTGCATTTTATTTTATAGTCTAGAGCCCTTTGTGAAAATAGGGTAAAGCACTAGAAAGGTGCATAGGTGGGAACTAACAAAGTACAAATACTACATTACTGTACTGAAGTAGACTTTTCAGGTATTTGTACTTTATTTAAGTATTTATTTTTGTGACAACTTTTTACTTTTACTCCCTACATTTTAAAACAAATATCTGTACTGTCTACTTCGTACATTTTCAAAACAGACTCATTACTTTTAGTTCAGCGGTATCATTTATAGCTTTTTTTATAGCAGGCCGGAGGGAGTGCAGGAGTCCATTAGTTGTGTTTGCATTGCTTCAAAATGTAGCTAGCTCTAAAGAAAAGGAGGAAGCATGAAGTGAGTGACGTTTTTTTAACTGTCAGGTAATTTCAAATTCAACATTTCTATCAGCTCAACAAATATCAGCAAACACACTAACTGTTTGTGTGCAGTTAGTCACAGTATGTCTGGGAGCTGAAGGTGTATTAGCTAACTGCAAGCTAAAGGTGTATTCTCTTGCTGCTTGTGTACATACTGAGTACATTCATTAGAATTTAGATTCAAATATTTGTAATCTCATGTAGTAATATTATTATTATAGCACAAATAAATTAAATCCAGGGTCTTTCTGTGTGGAGTTTGCATGTTCTCCCCGTGTTTGCGTGGCTGCTCTTTAGATACTTTGGCTTCATCCCACGATCCAAAGACATGCAGTTAGTGGGGTTAGGTTAATTGAATGTGAACGTGAGTGGGAATGGTTGTCTGTCTCTATGTGTTAGCTCTGGGACAGACATGCGACCTGTCCAGGGTGTTTCATGTCTCTTGCCCTAATACAGCTGGGATAGGCTCCAGATATATATACTGATGTGTCAAAACATTATCAAGGGTACATCACACTGTTTTGAGTAAATTTGTTGTTAGTTTTTCTTATTTAAAAAAAAAGACTTGAACCGGGCTTGAAATGAAAAAAAAAATGTCCATAAATATTTGAATGTGACATTTTGAACTATTAGGAGTTACACGTATGTCAAACTACGGAATGGTGGAAATGAACTGTAACTGACAAAGAATATCACAGAAGCGCTCCAGCATCACGTGTCAGATGCCTTTTCTGGACATTTGACACATTAGATAACATATAGAATACCCTTAAATTACAGGGTTTGAAAGATGAAAAAAAAATGAAAACGAATTTTCTCCACATAGTGAATCAGTGTCTGTCGTCTTATAAAGAGCGTGACATACCATTAACCTTCATAAAACAAAAAAATCTCAATCAGACTTTACTAGAACACACTTTTATTGCCTAAATACTTACATTTGAAATATGTTTATTAGACATATAATGCTACTAAGAATGATAACACACATCAGCATGTGTTGTATATTACTTATTGAGCTGATTGTACTTCATACCTGGGGACTGTAGATGCAATTTAGCTTCAAGCTAATTCTCTTACAATATGTCTATTTGTGCATGTTCACTGCTAAACTAAATAAAGAAACTGAACTACACAAATCCACTTTCTCTGTCACACAAGCACAGAAGCTTCACATAACAACTTCTAAATAATAGATTGGGAGCTGTATCATATAGATTCAGCTTCTTTAACTATTTAGTTAACTGTGTTTTGAGTCGAACTAATATCATTACTGTGGAGCACATGTTAGGCTGGCATTGCAATATTAACTGCAGGATTTAAAGCTCTAGTCAAAGTACTGCTACAACACAAGTAAAGCATGAGCCTTTCATTCAGCACATGTGTTAGAAACACCCAAGGCCATGTTCTGATTGTTCTCATTTGTCAAGGCAAGATATTTCATTTAATATCATTATGTAGGCCAATATTCTGAAATAACCTAAGAAAATGCAGTACATCTCCTCTGTAATATATCTTGTTATGGTGTGGAAGAACACACTGCTAGTTAAAATGTTCTTTTTATACTCTTCAATATGCATGGCAGGAACCGTAAATGCGCTGGCCAGCCTCTCCATAGTTATCTCCACCGGTGTACTTTCCCTGACACGCCAGACTGTTCACCTGCAGATACAACAGAGAGCAAACAAGCAGAGAAACGTCATACAAATAGCAGCTGGTTCTTTTTTTTATGTGTGCATTAAAAAACGACTGGAAGCTACCTCTGCTCTCTTGATGAACTGTTCAGTGGCGGCTTTCTCGTTTTCTTTATGTCCTCTCCAGGCTCTGAGTGCAGACGCCTGCAGGGCTCGTCCGAAGGAGAACGTCAGGACCCAGGGTTTGGGCAGAGGGCAGTTGTTGATGGCATTAAGGTGGATAGAGGCCTCCTCTTCACTCTGACCTCCTGACAGAAAAGCAATACCTGTGGACGAAAACATGAATTTGTTCTGTTTGGTTTCTGCACACGTTTCTGTTTCTAAACCTCTAAATGAGAGCATCATTTTAACTTACCTGTCACAGCTGGGGGAACTGTGCGGCGCAGAGCAGTGAGGGTTGCCATTGCAACCTCCTCTGGGCTGTATTTGGTGGAGCAGCTGTGTCCAGGAGTGACCATGTTGGGTTTGAGCAGAGTGCCTTCGAGGTACACGTGGTGGTCTGACATGGCCTTGTACACTGCAGCCAGGACCTGCAACACAGACACTGTTTTACTAAAGAAGCAGCAGAGTGGTACAGAATGTCTGAAAAACCCATAAAAGTAACAGTGCATCCACTCCCTACCTTCTCAGTGACATACTGGCAGCGCTTCAGGTCATGATCACCATCAGGCAAAATCTCTGGCTCTATGACGGGCACGATGCCGTGCTGTTCAAGGAAAGATAGATGATCAAACACTGTATATGCATTAGATCACAGTGATGTGTGGATAAGCATTCAGGCTTTATGATTTGGAGTTCTGACCTGCTGGCAGATACTAGAGTAACGTGCAAGAACATTCGCGTTTTCTGTGATAGCCAGCTTTGATGGATTGACGTCACTAATTTTGAGCACACAGCGCCACTTTGCGAAGACAGCGCCGTCCTTTTTATACTGCGCACAACGCTCAGACAATCCATCCAGACCTGTGGAGAAGTGTAAAAAGTACAAAGAAAAAAACAGAGAAGGGAAATGTTCATAAATGGGAAATTGTGGTGATGAAATGGTTGATATCAGCAGCGGTCCAGTGTGAGTCGGACTGACCCTGTGTGGTGGTTTCTCCACAAGTTCCTGCCAGGGGAACAACACCTTTGTCAACCTGAAGAATGCAGACAATGATTTGAATCAAAATCCAAACCTATTATCATAAAAAGTTGATAACCTAAACAGATTGAATTCTAAGTGGTCAGACCTTGACCCCAACCAGGATTCCCCTGTCCCTGATCATTTTGACAAAGGGAACGCCATTATCAGAGTGTTGGTACAGGGTCTCGTGGAAGAAGATGACCCCTCCGATGCAGCTGTTGATGCGATCGTCCGCACTGAAGAGGATCTGCCGATACTGCCTGCGGTTCTCCTCCGTGTTCTCCACTCCGACTTGAGCCAGCCGCTTAGCCATACTGCCTGCAGTGGGTGTATTGTCAGTGACATTTAACTTACACTGGTGATAACTTACACTCTTTGATTGGATTGGACATAAGGTGTGCACTCACTAAATGTGCATGTTTAAAGAAGGAGCGCTACAGACCTACAGACTCA